GGGGAAGGAGGGAACCCCTGCACCCCCTCCAAAGGAAGGAGGGAACTCCTGCACCCCCCCCAGGGGAAGCAGGGAAGCCCTGCACCTACCCAGGGGAAGGAGGGAAGCCCTGCACCCCTGCACCCACCCAGGGTAAGAAGAGAACCGTTGCACCCCCCCGGGGAAAGAGGGAACCCAGGCACCCCCCAAAGGAAGGAGGGGACCCCAGCACCCACCCAGGGGAAGGAGAGAACCCCACGGCCCGCACCCACGATGGGAAGACTGAACTGCAGCCCTGCCCCGCCCACCATGTCCGGGAAACAACTGAATCCCTTGTCCCCGCGTCCGCCCAGGTGAAGGCCGTCTCCAGCAGAAGAACCGAACGCCCCGGGGCCGCGCTCCACCAGCCCGCACCTTCCGCGAGCTCCGGCCCGGCCTCCTTCTCGGGGTCATCCGCCCGCCTCCAGAAGAACGCCAGAAGCTTGGCCGCGAGGCGCAGCATGCTTCCGCCGGCGCTGCCTCGACCTCCCTGCTCGGTCAGCCCGCACCTCGCCAGCGCCTCTGCCTCAGCTGCCCGAGGCGCTGCACGCGGCCTTACGGGTCCTGCAGCTCGAGGCCAATGGCGACTCCAAGCTACGCTTGAGCCCGCCTCCCCCTACCTTGCCTGGCCAATGGCGACGCCGCTTGACGACACCGTTAGAGGTTGGCGGTTGGCTGTCAGTCGTTAGAGCGTGCCTGCGCAGGCGTTGTGTGGAGGCGTGGCGTTGTGCCAGGTGTGCGTAACGTCACGGTCGGAGGAGGTGTCCTGTGGGGCGGGGCTGCGTCCTGGTGGGCGGGGCATTTGGCAGGGAAGCTGGGCGTGGCTGCGTGCTGGGGGCAGGGCTGCATGCTGGGGGAGGGGCTGCATGCTGCTTGGGTCATCGCGTAGATCCGAGTGGGCGGGGCTTTGTCCTGGTTGGTCGTCTGCAGGAGATGGGAGTTGAGGCTGATGGGTGTCTTTTTTTTATTCCCCAAGTTGGGGGACGTACTCAGTCTTTCACAGTTGAGCAAAACGTTAGGTGTAGGTTTTTGTAGATGTTCTCCATCAAGCTGAGGAAGCTCCCCTCTGTTCCTCTTTTCCTGCACGGACGGGGGAGTTTCTCCCACATTCTTTCTGCATCTATTCAGGTGACCTTATGGTTTTCCTGTTAGCCTGTTAGTGTAGCGAGTTACAGTGATTCATTTTAAATGTTACACCAGCCTTGCATTCCTGGGGTAAATTTCACTTGGTCATGGTTTATCATCCTTTTTGTATATTGTGAGATAGGATTCAGTAAAAATTTGTTGAAAATCTGGATTAATACTCAGAATATTTTTTTATATTTATGTATTTATTTTTTTAAATCTGTTTTTGGTATCTGTGATAGTGGCCTCATAAAGTGAGTTGGGAAGTGTTCCTTCTGTGCTTAAAAGATTACTGACATGAGGTGTGTGTGTGTGGGGGAGGAAACTGCAAAAATTAAAAAAATAAAAGATTGCTGATGTTTGGCATACATAACTAGTTTTCTTATATATTTCTGGAGTATTCTTTGTGGGAAGGTTTTTTTTTTTTTTTTTTTTTTTTTAATTGTGATTTGGGTAAAAGTTTACAGAGCAAATTCTTCTTCCATTCAACAGTTTATAGCATTTTGTTTCATGACATTGATTACAATCCCCACAATGTTAACAGCTCTGTTCCCACTTGCTCCCTGTGGTTACCTTTTCCCTGTGTCCTTCTTTCCTGTGCATTCCTGCCTCTGGGCTGTCTGCTTGCTCAAATGCTACCCTTCTAATCTACCATGGTTACTTATTCTCCCTGGTGTAATTGTTCATCTCATTTTTGTTGTTAGGTGTTGTTGAGTCAGCTCCGATTCATACCGACCCAGTGTACAACAGACCAAAACATTGCCCAGTCCTGCACCAACCTCACAGTATTTACCATGGCAGTGAGTTTGTTTCTGTTTTTTAGGTCCATTATCAGAGCCACTATGTCAATTCATCTCAT